TTTAAAAAATAGCTCGTTTTGCATGATTGCATCAGCTTGATCACGTGGTATAATGTACTTATTTTAACCCCCAAAATGGTGTTACATTGCGCGTAACCCCCTTACGTGGTGTTATTTTAAGTCCAACTATGGAGTTATTAAGCTGGAATTTTGTAACTCCCCTATTACACCCCTAGAATCCCTTAAAAGTGGTGTTAAAATAACACCCTGAAAATAACAGTGTAGTGTACACTTACATTAAAACGGCGTACATTTACGTAATTCTCAGGTAATTTTACACTTTACGATAGAGCTAATATACACCTATTTAGTGTTAGATATGCTTACACTCTAACAGTGCAAATTTACACTTACGTTGGTGTTTGATTACACCAAAAATATGTGAATATACCCGATTCTTGTGCAAAGTAAAAACCGGGGTAAAAGCAGCGAAAGCGTTGTAATTTTACCTCATAAAGGTGTATCTTTATATAATCATAGTGTTCGAGATTGCGCTGCTACAGCATAAACTTACACCTAAATTGTGTAGGAAATGTGGTCAGAGTGATGCAGTATAGTTGGCTTCATATGGGTGCCCTATTTGGACACCCAGAAATCTTAGCGGGCGTGCTCTTAGCGCGTTCTTTTAAAAATTCTGTTGAATACGAAGATTATATGCTGGAGTTTCCTTCATTTTTTCACAAAAAATGCATGAAATATTTCAGGACTTGAAAGCATACACATTCATTTGAAAGTAAGTGTTAATATTTATACATTCGTATATTAATTTCGCCTATTAACATACTGTAGAACATCAATATTTTGTTTCATGTTTATATATGCCAGTGTCGAGTGTGTTATATTGTATAAAACATTTTATGCTGGGTATTTTTAGGTGATTATTTCAATCTATCATACTGCCAAACAATGCTGTCATTAAATTCACGAAAACAAATTAAATAGTCAATGGCAATGCGAATGAATAGATAATATTAAAATTCATCTTTTGCACAGAGATCGATGTCTGGCATTGGTGATAATATTATTTGTTAAACTTCGTCGTTATTCTATTTACGTTGCAAACTGTACATTTTTAAATAATACGCTATTAATTTACATTTTTTAATTGCTAAATAGAACGTGATTTTTAGCTCACCTTGAACATCGTCGACCGGCATTGTCAATCCGTATCAATCCGAAGTGAAACAGCAAACAGTTGGGTAAATGATTGCTGATTCTCAAAGAATTTCATCTTTCCAGATTGTTTCGAGCAACAGAAATACATTTCTTGCAAGGAAATACCACAGTTTATTAAAACAAAACCATACAACGTGTCTGACATTTTTCCTCGAGCAGGGAATTAAAGACAATTTCAGACAAACAAACCATTTCTTGCGTCAATTCCATTTTTCGAGGAAATTTGACGAGGTTGTGGTCACATGTGGTCAAACAATCTCAAAGGCTGTTCAAGTCAGCAGAGCTAAGGCGGTTATCGAGTTTCCTAATTAATTCATGATTTTTTTATTTTCTGACGCTTCGCTTCACCAGTGCAGTAAGTTTTTTTAAAGAATAAAGCAAATATTTCCAAATATTGCCATATGGTTGCGAAACTAATGTGGGCCGCACAGATTTGAGCACAGTATCATACCTTTAGCACAGCCCAATTGCTCTTTCTCTCACCTTCATGAAGTCTGTCCACGCCTTTTGTAAACGTGTAAATAGAAGTATCAACAAAATACGATCAGTTGTTTGTATACGATTGTCGTTCTGACACATGAAAACGAATGCTGATGCCTGATTTTTATTTCTACGCACATAGTGGAACGTTCGTTGCGTATTCATTCAATCATAGAACTAAAAACGCCTCGAGATCAAGAGATCGTCATTTGAAAAAAATATACGACAGGTTTAAAGGGTCCATTGCCAGCAACTTCTGCAAAGGATCATCGAATTGTGACGTAGGCTTCCTGATTAAATATTGGTTGAATGAATTGGTTGCAAAGCTGGATTTGTGAAGAAATCCAAGCCGAACAGTCTGCAAGGGCAGTGGCGGCATTTAATAACAACGTTATTTCCGACAGATTTGTAAAGACATTTAAAAAATATATATATATACCAATGCGATTACGATTTTCAGCTGTAGTAATTTATTCTGCCAAACCTGGAATTCGCTACTGTTCAAAGGATAAACGACAATGTTAATAGCATTAAATGCTTACAATAGACCGCATTTAATAATATGGCCTAATTATAAAAGGATCATTTTATTTGTAAAATACCTTCAACGAAATGTGTATATATACCTTCATCAACTTCATCAAACTGTTCAGCTCAAGTCTGCCGCACACGAGAGCTATTACAGCTGAGCTAAAGACTTTGCGAGGTAAAGCTTTTTGAAATTATATTTTTGGTCTTGGATCATCTTGGGAATGCATAGATATTAAAACTCTCAAAGCACATGCTCTCATGCACTCTTGATGTACAGCGGGTATAAAAAATAGGTACGCAATGCGTACATGTGGGTAGCCTGTAAAACATTATTAATGCGATAAAGCTGCTATAGTGGCGAGTAAATATCAACTGATGCAATAAAATATTATTTTCTAGTCTTATGTTCTAATGCCATAGACAACGGAATAAACGCCCTATACTTAGCTGGTTGAATACAGTTATAACAAAGTCGATTTATTACACAATCTATATTGACTATATATAATATTTTATTGTATTAAATAGATTTTAGGACAGATCAAAACATATATAAAAGCATTTTTACAAGAGATAGGAAATGAATTTTTTTAAGCAGAATAGGTGAACAGAACAAAAAAAGAGAGTAAGGTTCCAGGATGGTGGCACACATTTTCTGATAACATAAAGCTTAGTTTAGAAGGATAAAGATCTAAACAAAGATTTCTTTGCGGATAAACTACTTGATTTGGCAGATCATTTTACAGTAACATAACAAAAAGTCCAACATTGTTTCAAACGTTTGAAATTAACAATCTTTCAGGATTTATCTATGTATCTGAACAATATTTTAAAGATTTTTGATCAGTTGAAATGCACTTTTGTTAACAGTTTTGTTTTTTGAACTCCAAAGCATTTGGTTTAATAGCCGCATGCTACAAGCAAGAAATTGACAAGTGAAATATTGCATTATAATTTATAAAACAGGGCAACTTGTTACTACCATTTGGCATTTGGCAAATTATGATTTATAAAACAGGGCAACTTGTTACTACCATTTGCAATAAGGTAATGTATTTGGTTTAATAGCTGCATGTCCACAAGCAAGAAATTGACAGGTGAAATATTGAATTATAATTTATAAAGCAAGGAAACTTGTTACTACCATTTGCCAAATTATGATTTATAAAACAGGGCAACTTGTTACTACCATTTGCAATAAGGTAATGTATTTGGTTTAATAGCTGCATGTCCACAAGCAAGAAATTGACAGGTGAAATATTGCATTATAATTTATAAAACAGGGCAACTTGTTACTACCATTTGCCGAATTATAATTTATAAAGCAGGGCAACTTGTTACTACTATTTGCAATAAGGTAATGTATTTGGTTTAAAAGCTGCATGTCCACAAGCAAGAAATTGACAGGTGAAATATTGCATTATAAGTTATAAAACAGGGCAACTTATTACTACCATCGGCGAATAAGGTAATGTTTTATTCATTTTCTATTAGTGTAATTTTCAACGCTCACCGATCACCGCTTTTTCGTCTTTAAAGCACTCAACTTCGCTTTAAAATTTGACAAACGTATTAAATATAACTTCGGTTGCTTTTTCGTTTTTAAAGTACTCAACTTCGCTTTAAAATTTGACAAACGTATTTTAATATAACTTCGGTTGTTTCCGTCCTTCGAAAACAACGAAATTTTCCGGAAGTAGAACGTACCGTTCGTCATCTTTCGTACATCCGACGATTGCCGAAGATGTGGCACCCACACAGAAACATACATCCGGACACTTTTTCGACTACATAGTGGTTAGCCGCGCATGCGCAGGCTACCCACAAAAAAGAGACTTGAATGTCTGACTATTAGTTATTTAAAATAAGAGCATAGTTGATCGGGTTTCTTTTGTTTTTACCGGGTCGATTACGAACTAAGCGCCCACTGTAGCGGGCGATTAGTTCTAATCGCCCGCTCAATTGTGGATGGTCAAACATGCAAATAATTACATTCTACACAACAACAAAACCACTTTTATTGACATAAAATTTAACGCTCATTAATAACATTCCCACTTCAGTAATGTCCAAATTGAAAACTCATCTACGTGTACTAATATGAATATGCATGTCTCCGTTAACAGTAGCGCTCTGCAGAATGCCACTTATATCTAGATTTGAAATACAGCTCTTCTCATATTCCACACAAGCAGCAACCAGAGTTTCATCGTCCACGTCAACACATGTAGCAGTATCAGAAGCAGATGACTTAGATGCACATGAAAGAGCACTAGATACGGCCATGTTCGCGTTCACGTCTTCTCTCTGATAGGTCCTAACACCCTCAATTGAGCGATGCCCACTTCGTCGCATGATAGCCTTTTCACCAATGCCAGCGTCGTACAAACGCGTGACTGCAGTTACTCGGCCTGAATGATTGGTGTAATTGCCCTTTAATCCAGCGTCCTGACACATCTCTTTGAACCGTTTGCTTAGTGTATTCCAACCAATTGGTCTGCTCTCAAACCAAACTGTTGATCCATATGTCCACTTTACTCTGGGTTTTAAGTAAAATGCAGAAACAATCGGGTTTTCTGGACTAAAGAGAAAGTATTAACAATTAATTATTTCGTAAAACATAAAGAAAGGGTATATACAACAACACATACCACATGGAAAGGTAGAAATTATAGATGAAGGTAAAAGACTGCTCGTGCAGCGGGTTTTCGATGTGCTCCACGCGCTTAAACTCGTGTTTGCGTCTTTTGATGCCACCTTGGTTAGTTTTCGACACTTTTTCTGTGTACTTAACGATCACCATTCCATCAGGTTTACTGAACAAATTCGAATTGATCACGCGTTAATTCTCGTTGCTCCTTGCCACCTCGAAGAGCAAACAACTTCCCGGTCAAGAATAACAGCGTATTGATAATACTATCCGGGGAGCCAGTCCCAAGCACGCCAGCATCCCACATCTGCCTTTCATCGGTAACGGAAACTGCAGCTGCTGTCTTTTTACCTGGCTTTTGCGTCGCTTGTAGTTCCTTTAGTCTCCCGTCCAGCGCTTGTTGAAGTGGTCTCAACTCAGGTGAATTGGACATATTCAACGCTGGATGTTTGACTTGTATACTTCGATTTAAGCCACAAAACAGACTATACAAAACTTCATGCTTGTATTCCCCTCCATCAACCTTTCGTACTTCTAACGCCAATCTGCTAAACCAATAGTTAATTTTCTTCACCGTTAAATCCTCGAGGTTTGGCACATGCTTAAACTCAGCATTCTCAGGAACAAAATCCCTGAACTCCTTGTTTCTCGCTTCAGCCCATTTCTTATAGACATTGCTACTCCATAAAGCATGCCTTGTTGTATTTTCAGGCGTCCTGTTCTCTCTGGCACTCTCGACATCGCGTTCTGTGACAAACAAGAACCGATTTTCTTCGATATTCTTTGACATTGCAAACAAAAACTGTACTCAATTCTATGCAATTCACTCATATTTATACGCGCCACTTACGCTAATGTATTCAATGCGAAGTTGTTGTTCTCGTAGGAGTTTTAACAATTAGTAAAAACAAATTATACGCTTGGAAACCCTCATCAACAATGCTATTACAAACTAATAGCATGGCTTTTCGGGAGATTAGTGATTAAATGGCCCCGTAACCCGAGGCAGGTTTGTGGGATTCCCGAGGGCGAAGGCGAAGCCCTCGGGAATTCCACAAACCTGCCTCGGGTTACGGGGCCATTTAATCACTAATCTCCCGAAAAGCCATGTTATTACTTATAAATCATTTGGTTTAATTCAACATAGGATTAGTCATATTTGATTGATTCACTTGTGTTTACGCACTTATGGGTTCTACAGGGTGTCCCAAAAAAAAAGCAACCACTTAAATATGCAGAACATTAATACAGCGCTAAAGCGCAATAGATATAAAGCACCTCTGGGAATTGAAAATGGCTCTTAATCCTTCATTTACAATGCTAAAAGTCATTTTAGCTGAACTATGGTGCAAACCCGAACAATATTAATATTCTTGCATATTTAAGTATACTCAAAAAAACGCAACCACTTAATATTCTAAAATTCATATTGTTCATAAGCTCAATAGATTTTATGCCCCTGGGATTTTAAAATGGCTTCTAATCGTACAGTTCAACTGCTAATAGTCAAATCAGCTAAACTAATAATGGTGCAGCTAACAACCGAACAACAAGTTTTTATTGTCGTGCATGATAACTTGAATGCTAACTGTCGACCTTGTAAAATAAATTGTAAATAAAATTTTACTCGTTAAATACTTACGCACCCGACTTTGTTTACCGACGATTGTGCCGCTAGAATATGATTACAAGCTTTCTCGCATTCCAGGGGCCAAACGTCTTTTGTTTTTTTTTATACACCCTGTATAATACACATCATTCAAATTATAAAATAAATTAATTGTCCGCTTAAAATCTCATTTGATCTTTTCTTAAGTCTGGCTTAAGCCTCCGTTCTCAGTGTTTGACCGACATAAAGACTCTTAGTCTTATACGGCAGTTCAGTTTGAACTATTCGCTCCTTCTCATGCATTTATCAGAAGAAGAAAATCGCATCGAAAATCAGTTCGTTCGCCATTTCGAGCTCCATACTGCTTGTGATCCGGCGCTAATATATCCATCAGAAATAAAACACAAAAAGAATCGTATGGAATCTATATTCACTTGGTTGAAACTCAATTACAACTGCTGTTGGCGGTGGTACGGAAGCGTGTAAGGATCATCCGGAATTCCGAAAATCCGAGATTGAATATTCGAAAATCCGAGATACAAAAATTCCAGTCCCACCAGGCAAAAACAAAATTACAGAATATTCAGCCCAAATCAAATTCAAATCGGGCTTCCATTAGAATTTTAAAAGTACAAACAAAAATGAATACAAACAGCCAATGTATTGATGTAAAAAACATTTACACATGCAAAGTTGTAAATATTTGAAATAAGATCCATACTTATACTCTTATAGACTATAACAACATCAATATTCAGCAAAAATCAAACCAAAACCGGGCTTCGTATTGATCACTCAGAAATTGATTAAACTACTCGAGTACATTACCATCAGTTTGAGATAACTTAGCAGAATTAAAACAACACAAGAAAGTTGGAATTTTTAAACTTTTACTGGGTGAAAATTCAATAGCAACTGCCAGTTACGACAGAGCTATACTAATTACATAATTGATTATAATATAACATGAACAAGAATCAAATAAGTGCTAATGAGGCGTCTTTCAATTATCAGCCATTATCACTTACACAAATTAGTTCTCATAAGCATAAACACAAAGTTCCCTCAACTTTAAACTAAAGTAGGAACAGACTGACTGACCAACATGCTGACTGACAATCTTTCATTGAGACGCGTCTAAAAACTACAAAATACTGTTGTATACAATAAACTACAAATCCTACAAATTCTAATCTAAATGAAATATAGAGCGAGTTGCACCATATGGGATATGCTTTTCATACCATAAAGTCAAGGGAGATTATGGCATGTTGCACCGCAATAGTCAATATTTATTTCTTTTTTTTCACCAAAACATGACTTTGTTCAGATAAACAGTATTTTCTTTCTCTTTCGCCAAAACATGATGTTTGTCATTAATTGCTATGTGTTTGTCCTGCATGAACAACAATTCTCTTCAAGTAAACTGGATTATCATTTCAATTCTTTTACAAGACAAAAGCATTCTTTAGGTACTGCCGACGTTGCTTCAAAAACACCATTTTTTCATGGAATTAGATTTAAGTGAGTTCTTGTGGTGCAACAGCTTTTTTTATTTCAACCTTTAATTACAATGATAGCATCTTACTTTAGAATTACAATATTTAGCCCGAAGCATTAAACAGATCACAGGGACCGGGGAGAAAATATCGGATTGAGGATCCAAACCTACGATTCGTTGAACAAACTCCAATGTGAGGGTCTTCGAACTTGCCACAACCGCAGAAATTCATCAAATTCAGCTGCTGCACTTCAATATATTTCCCAAGTCATTGAAATAGGAAAGTTATTTGAGAAACAGCTCCACATCCCCTTTCCCACCCTGCTCCACTGTCCATGAAATAAATATATGGTCTGGAAACTCGACTAAAGCCATTACCTGTATTTTTTCACGTTTTGCATAATAAAGCAATCTTTCAATAGGATTACCTTGTCAAAATTACTATTAATAACCCGTTAAAGTCATGATAAACATGATTACGAAGGATTTGTGCGCTTTGAAGAAATTGTTTTTTGCCATAGCAATATTATAAAACATCAAATATATAATAATTATAATAAAATCGCTCAAACAGGAACTGCTCCGCAGAATACAAAAGCAACGCCTTTGAAATTGTTTTGCGCGGATTTTGCGAACATTAGATACTCAAGTCCAAGAAGCTTTAGCAACGTGAACCTTTACGTAGGCATTTTCCTCGGCTGCTTCGTTAAGGGTTTGCTATTTTAGCCGTGTCTCTCAGGAACGTAAAAAATCTTTCGCAATTTTCAACATTTCTGACTAGTCAATGCATCATGCATTGGTAACAGCTAAAAGCGTGTTGTTTGAATGCTTTCTTGATTGTTTGTTGCGCTCGATCTCGCGTCGTAGATCACTTTGGCTGGTTTTTCAGAGCGATGTTTTTCACGCCAGCGAATTTACCCTTTTCTTTTGTATTTAAGCAATTTGTTCCAGATGATTGCTGTTGAGAGCTTGGAAACAAAAGTAAAATGGCGTCTCTCGTAAGTATCATCGGTATAATGGGAAACCCAGAATTTCCTCTCACCTACTTTTGCTCAAGATTGACTTCTATAGACGCAGGCTTTACTCGTCATAAATCTCGGATGCCGTCACTATACTTAGCAGGTTGAATGGTTAGGTGCAGACGTGTCCCTCATCATAACTACATATATAACCGAACCTTGCACACCATGTTAATTCCCAGTAGGTTTATATGTATATCGATCGAGGGATGCCGTTATTATTACACATTGCACCGCCGCGCCCCGAATTTACTTGAAATCCGCTACACTGCGCTGTCATGACCCACATTAGGGACCTTAAGCATGTAGGACGGCAACACGACGACGCCGCCGCTGAAATTCTCCTTTAAATAAATGCTATAGCAAAGTTGTTGCTGTATATTATTAATTGTACCGGTTTAGTGAGTATAAGGCGTTAAGAACATTGTGTTTATGTTTATGGACAATTCTAAAGAGCCTAATTCGAGGTAGGGCTCGCTGGGTCCTGAAATGCCCCCGTTCTAGGCAAGACGTAAAAAACCACGTTTTCCCGTTGTAAACAGAACGAAGACGACTTATAAAACCCATCAAGGTCTTTATTATTCATTTATTTTCAATGACCCATTGTATTGATAGCTGTCGTCGTCGCGTTCGCGTCCTACATGCTTAAGGTCGCTATTAGCAAACTCGAGAATACAAATTGCCTGGCTTTATGTCAGAGTTTTTAGCGAAATTTAGGGAAAATTTTCGAATTTTAGGTAAATTTGATAAAATTTAACCAAGGTTGCTATATTCAAAATTTTCTAGGTAATTTACACCCCAACATCAAACCCGCGACGTACGCCTTTGCAACTCGAAATGCATGCGCAACTCGTTGTTATAAAATGAAACAAACCGATTATGTTGTTTTATATCTCTTTTATATGCAGCGGACGAAACTCACGGCCGATCAAATTTTCGTTGTAATGAAAATAATGAAGAGATGGACGGTTTATATGTATATTTATATGATATAGTCAGTATATTTTTAGTATGAAATACCTTAATTTCAGTGATGTTTTTAGTAAGATATTTATGTTTAGACCAGTCATTGGTGTCTTGGGATGTGTTAGTGTGCAGTGGTCGCATGTCACGCAGTACCGATATTTTATCCTAGACGTCGCCGTTGTTTTCTGCAGTCGCGTCCCAGTTCCTTTTTATCTTATTAATGAAATTGAAGCTCGGCCGTTTAGTCAAATTACAGACCATATATTATTAACTATGTAAGCAGCAAGAAAAGAAAATCTAGTCTATTATCTAACCCAGTGTCCTTGAATGATTGTGATCTCAGTAGCAATCCACACCGACACCACTACCATGGCCGCAGTACCAGGGAGGATTATTCCATCCATTATGACTGCAATCCCAGATGAATGATTCATCACCAGAGCATTGAACATTAGAAAGCAATACAGCACCACTTCCTTTGCCATAGTGAGCCTTCGGTCTGATCTTGGTCGCTCCAGAGAAACCCAACTGACGACAGATGACGTTACCTTCAACAATACGCCAACCAAATATTTGGCTGCTGCTGCTGCTGCGCCAACGACACACTGTGCCCCAGCCAAGTGTTGGATGATAGATTTCCACTCTTCCACTCATATTGTTACTTGAACCATTCAATCTGATCTTCAGTTCAGAGT